CACAAATGTTGGCCAAATGGCGAATTCAATTCAAAACTATTTTGTAAATAAAAATGCTGCGAACCTGATTTCTTATCATGAAAAGAAGATTATTTTGGTACAATTTCCCCAAGTATTCAGCGAAACAAAATTCGTGTTATCTTAACATATCTTCCTAATGTACGTGCACGAGCTTCGTCAAATTCATTTTTTCCCCCATTTTGTATATTTACACTATTTCAGTGAAATTTGCAGTGAAAGTAGTCAAAGAAGATGTCTGTAGGGGTCCAATTAACTGACTTCAGAGTTAAAGACAACAACATTGAGAAAAGACGTCTATTCTGGCAATACTGATAACAACATGTCAAAAATGAATTTCCTTTCATGGAAATGGAGTCAAAGATGACATGATTCGTATCAATTTTAAGGCGCTTCAACTAACCTCTTATTGCCTCTTCCTTGAATTTTCRGGTTTTTATTGAGTTAAGAACCCCGAAGTCGGATTCTTTCGATAAATGAAGATTGGAACTTGGAAAAAATTGGATTATCCATAGATGGCTGCATGAAAAAGCTTTAATATTGTACGACTGGTTGTCATAGAATTTCCTAATTAGTTHCACATGAGAATTATTTTAGCATTTTCGATCGTTAAGCCCAATAAATACATTTTAAAAATCTTTGCTATTTTTACTTAGAACGCTTTTGTGACTAACGACTTTCGCTTGAATCCGTAGAAGTTGAACGGTTTCTCGATGCTCCTAGCTCTATTATACTACTTATAAGTTAATACAAAACTTTTGTAGTACTGAGCAAAATTTAATAGTTTTTTTGTGTGCTGAATAAAAGAAAAAAAACAAACGGTTGAAGGATATCCGACATGATTCTGGTAATACGCTATCAACATATCTCGGCCAGTGCTTTCAATCTATTATTGTATATTAGCCGGTCACAGTTAAATGTGAAGTGTACATTCTTGTTGACAAAGTAAAAGCTATTAAAAGAAGAACTTCCCCCTTCTACGGCACAAAAGCAAGACTTAAACATGTTATCGTCGGCCGAGACAAAAGAGGAATTCGAAGACCAAAGCTATATGCATGAAAAACTGCGATGCATGAGAACGAAATGAAAAACATTAGCCACTTTATATATTTTACAGCACAAAACCAAAACTTAAACCATGTTATTATCTCAAATTAGAGGCAAAAAGGGAGGACAAAGATGCATAAAAATGAATTAAACTTTCATGGAACAGGACTTACGTCTTGTTGTTGTTGTTGTTTCTTCTCCTGTTGCTCAAGTGTGATTCATGAACTACTCTTTCGTCTGAACAACTTTCTCGAAAACACCTGAACTTTWATAGTCTAGTAACAAATCACGTGACAGTCACGTGGTAGAGCGTTTATTCAATCAAAACTTCAACCCTAAAGCAGACCTGTTACTCGATATACCACTCACGGATTTGAATACAGTTTAAGCTAGTAAACATCGAAAAAACCTTATGTACAATATATACAGTAAGATTAAATGTTATAAAAGCAGAAAAGGTAGGAGTTTGCTTACATTATTAATCAAAAGCAAGAGAGGATATTTATGCTCTCATGTCAAAAGCTAGAATTTCATTAGAYGAACAGGAATTATCAAAAAAGCTTAGCCTTATTCTGGATGGCGTTTCCTCAGTCTAGTTAGTGTTTACTGAGACATACATAGATAGACTNAATGGCGAATTCAATTCAAAACTATTTTGTAAATAAAAATGCTGCGAACCTGATTTCTTATCATGAAAAGAAGATTATTTTGGTACAATTTCCCCAAGTATTCAGCGAAACAAAATTCGTGTTATCTTAACATATCTTCCTAATGTACGTGCACGAGCTTCGTCAAATTCATTTTTTCCCCCATTTTGTATATTTACACTATTTCAGTGAAATTTGCAGTGAAAGTAGTCAAAGAAGATGTCTGTAGGGGTCCAATTAACTGACTTCAGAGTTAAAGACAACAACATTGAGAAAAGACGTCTATTCTGGCAATACTGATAACAACATGTCAAAAATGAATTTCCTTTCATGGAAATGGAGTCAAAGATGACATGATTCGTATCAATTTTAAGGCGCTTCAACTAACCTCTTATTGCCTCTTCCTTGAATTTTCAGGTTTTTATTGAGTTAAGAACCCCGAAGTCGGATTCTTTCGATAAATGAAGATTGGAACTTGGAAAAAATTGGATTATCCATAGATGGCTGCATGAAATAGCTTTAATACTGTACGACTGGTTGTCATAGAATTTCCTAATTAGTTTCACATGAGAATTATTTTAGCATTTTCGATCGTTAAGCCCAATAAATACATTTTAAAAATCTTTGCTATTTTTACTTAGAACGCTTTTGTGACTAACGACTTTCGCTTGAATCCGTAGAAGTTGAACGGTTTCTCGATGCTCCTAGCTCTATTATACTACTTATAAGTTAATACAAAACTTTTGTAGTACTGAGCAAAATTTAATAGTTTTTTTGTGTGCTGAATAAAAGAAAAAAAACAAACGGTTGAAGGATATCCGACATGATTCTGGTAATACGCTATCAACATATCTCGGCCAGTGCTTTCAATCTATTATTGTATATTAGCCGGTCACAGTTAAATGTGAAGTGTACATTCTTGTTGACAAAGTAAAAGCTATTAAAAGAAGAACTTCCCCCTTCTACGGCACAAAAGCAAGACTTAAACATGTTATCGTCGGCCGAGACAAAAGAGGAATTCGAAGACCAAAGCTATATGCATGAAAAACTGCGATGCATGAGAACGAAATGAAAAACATTAGCCACTTTATATATTTTACAGCACAAAACCAAAACTTAAACCATGTTATTATCTCAAATTAGAGGCAAAAAGGGAGGACAAAGATGCATAAAAATGAATTAAAYTTTCATGGAACAGGACTTACGTCTTGTTGTTGTTGTTGTTTCTTCTCCTGTTGCTCAAGTGTGATTCATGAACTACTCTTTCGTCTGAACAACTTTCTCGAAAACACCTGAACTTTWATAGTCTAGTAACAAATCACGTGACAGTCACGTGGTAGAGCGTTTATTCAATCAAAACTTCAACCCTAAAGCAGACCTGTTACTCGATATACCACTCACGGATTTGAATACAGTTTAAGCTAGTAAACATCGAAAAAACCTTATGTACAATATATACAGTAAGATTAAATGTTATAAAAGCAGAAAAGGTAGGAGTTTGCTTACATTATTAATCAAAAGCAAGAGAGGATATTTATGCTCTCCTGTCAAAAGCTAGAATTTCATTAGAYGAACAGGAATTATCAAAAAAGCTTAGCCTTATTCTGGATGGCGTTTCCTCAGTCTAGTTAGTGTTTACTGAGACATACATAGATAGACTATAGCATGTATATAGTAAGGTATTGAAAACTTAATATTAAACCTTGAATGCATAGTTTGAAGTTATTGTTAGCTTGAGCGTTTGTAGTTAATTGAATCTTTGATGACTTAATAAGATATTTAGTAGGAACTCTTTGTAGATTAAAAGATCTAGATAACAATTAACAAAACCTATCAATTTTTGCTGCTGTGCCAACACGCACAGTAACGGAACAACATAATGTTGAAAAATATGTTTCCGAAAATACAAATAAATAAAGATAAAAATAAATAAAAATAAAAATAAACAAATAAAGATAAATAAAAATAATATGAATAAATAAAATAAAAATAAATTAATTAATAAAAATTGATAAAAATAACAAAAATTTAAAAAACCAAACAGGTGAAGCTACTTAGGGTGGGGGAACAGTGAAGTAGGAATGGGGTGGCAGGAAAAAAGGTGGACTGGTGTATTTTTTTTAAATGAGAGGGAAATTATAATTTCCTATTTATTGAATGGATGGATGGATGCAAGGAATTTGAATGGAAGGGAAGGAAGGAAGGAAGGAAGGAAGAAAGCAGGTGTGTTAACTCCAAGAGCAAACAGTACTTGCACTAGACAGTTATATTCCTAGTAAAACAAGACATTTGAGTCTCGAACAGACAAAAGTACTGCACCGYATGATACAGGAGTCAAATTACCTACTGCTATCTAATAATTATTTATACAGCAATAACTTCACGAAATGAACACTATCACCGACTATGGGGTATACATTGATAGGGACACCCCGCTGATATCTATATAATGGATATCTTCCCTCATGCTGTCTAGGATGTTGCCCATCTTTTCAGTTTGAAATTACTGAGCCATTTCGGGATTGAGGTAAAAGTTACATTACAGTGCAATGTGGAATTGTTTTGAGGGACATATTTCCAAGATGGTTTAGGCAAAATACGTCCCTAAAGCAATGCCGCACAATACAACTTTTTCCTCGAACTCAGAATGGCTAATATTCTCATGAATTTTGTAAAATCGAGAACCGAGAGAAAACTGTCCGGAAATCTCACTCTACATGCAACATGTTTTTACCCTGAAAACATTAGTGAGGCTCCCATGCTGTGAAGATATCTGCCTTTTGATTACTGTATTGTATGGATGAGCGACTAGATGAGCGCTATATTTGCATTTATATGAAAATGGTTAAAGGCGGTCCATTTTCATTTTATATTTACTTGTGCAATAACTATTTTTTACAAGGAGTAAAAATGGTCCTGACGGTACTCCTAAAATTGTTTGTATAATTGATAGATGCATAGRTGGGTGTGTGATTGGCTTAAGGACGGGTGAACGGGAGTATGGAAGGGTGAGTGGATGGATGGATGGCTAGTGATCAATAAAGTGTCTAATTGTATCATCACTCTATACTCCCATATAACCAACCATTGTCTTATTTTCAAATTCTCTCTCCTGTCCAAATTGAAGATTAATTGGATCGTTTCCATTCGCATTCTTTCAAGGGAAAACTATGACTTATCTATGTCTAGTATAGTTTGGGATGCTCGTCTACGTAACTTAGAGGAAAGGACGTCTTACAAATGTAATATACTTGCGTGAAAACACCGGCTATATTTGAAGGTACTTACTTAATTGGACACACCATTTGACCATTCCTGGGCAGATGGTTAAGAGCAAAGCATTCAAGCCTTTTGTGGTACAAYAATATCTTGAAAACCATGTATGTCTAAATACAATTACATATATACATAGATGGCTATCAAGGAACCGCTAATGTTGTGTCTACGAACTCAAATTATAGAAAATTATACTTCGAGATAACTAGACTCTATTGCATTGGGAAGTTCAATTCTGTTATAAGCAGGCGGTTTTGGAATGTTGTTTTGAAGGAATAAGTCGGCTTTTYTCAGTAATGTAATAATCAGACGCGTTCAAATTTTCGTAATGTGGACAATTAATCTGTGAAACACTAATTACTAAATAGTGGAATTTGCATGAAATTGTGCTATTTAGTATTACTAAAGTTTCACGGCTATATTGTTTGCACTCTATATGACAGCTTTTACCAAGTATACGAATCTCGCTCGAATAGACAATGGTTTCGTCTTGGCTTGTCAATCGACTGATATAAATAGTGTTATATTATAATAAGCTCACTGCTTTATTATTTTACCCAATAAAGATTATTATTACTATTATTATWATTATATTATGACATTTCAGTTAACCAAGCAATTTCATACATTCACCAGAAAAAACAGTTCTCTTTCCAATGGTTATGAACCGTGAAAAGATGAAAAAACTGACGTTTCGGACGCTAGTCCTTCGTCGGAGTCACTCCGACGAGGGACTAGCGTCCGAAACGTCAGTAAGTTTTTTCATCTTTTCACGGTGTATAATTTACCTTTTCCTCATTACTGTTTCATTAGAAACACCGACGCAGTTCACACTAGTTTTTAGCTAGTTATATTTTCTAATGGTTAGTAAATTGAATACAATTGACAGTTTTCTCAAGGTTGCATGTGCATCYAACTTGACAGCCCACAAAACTGAAAAACGCGAATTCAGTAAAATTGAGAAGACAGTTTTATACTTATGAATAATCAATTTCATTATTCTTATCGAAAAMATTCATACAATGCAGCATCAATACTCATCATGAACTTTGTATTCTGGTATCGTGGGCCGTYTTAAATTTGGATGCGCACGCAACCTTGAGAAAACGATCTATAGAAAAGTATTACTATGACATATTAATGTCTTCCCAAGTAATTTTCTTCGCCATAGGAAAGCAGTTGTCTCTTTATGGCTGGCAAATTACATGCAATAGAGAAGTATTATGTGTGTTTTACCAATCAATTTCGCCCCAGTCTRCTTGTCATTGGTTAATCGAGGAAGTAGCTTAAGGCACATAATATGGATGAAGAATGATCCTTATACTTTCCTTTTTGCGTAGGAAATCCTAGTGCACCAAGCCGGAAGATGAGCTAAAAGATAAAGGAATCTAATATATAGCTATTACCGAGTCTTTGTCTGGTTTGTGAGCTTAAAATGCCGGCTAGACGACGCTACTCACTTTAGTGAHTTCTGGAAAGAGATAAGATGAGAARTAAACACTACTCAAAAAATGTGGAGAAAAACACCAAAATAAAATAGCAAAAATAAAATAATATAAATCTATCTTCGGCCATAAGTTTTATAAAAACTATGGTGGATGAAACACACTGAGCCAGCTTAGGGATAGGGTAGGATAAAAAAAACCTGTATTTATAAACCTACTGATGATTTGGATAAAAGAGGCRTTAAAAACCTTTTTAAAATAGCTGTATTACGAAAGAGTTTTTAAAAAACCTTGTATTGTGAATGCTTTGAGTATAATCGAACATAGATAGTTAAAAATGTATCAGTARGTCTTAAATTTAAAGTTAATGCTTAACCAACATTATCATATACTTGGCGTAGACTCTTTGCGTATTATTTTCATGCAGATCAAAGAAAATACCCCTTTTTGATGAGCGGATGTTGAGATCGCATGGATGATGTCGAAAATGTGAGAGGAAAATCCAGTTTGTTCCTTAAATCTTTCTTGAGGTCAGCCAGCCATTCCCATCACGTTTTACTGGGAAATATACGCCACTCGTATTTTTCATACAAACTACATCAGGGACCTGAGTAATATATTTTCCATATCTTCACTAGCGAGGATATCGATGACGTCACTTGCGATTTTTTCCCGCTCACTTGAGGCGCGTTAAAAGAGTTTTTATTTGTGGATTTGTCTATATATAATAAAAAGAAAATTACACGTTCTCTTGAAGATATGAAGTTTATCTTCTCGTGTTGAAAAATATTTTTCACCACTCCAAGATAAACTTCATATCTTCGCGCCACCGTGTAATACCCTCTATGTATGTTCCCCGTAAGCGTTTCTAGAAAGCAAAGAAATAATACACAAGGGAATAAAGTGTGGTGTGAAACAGGGAAAGCAAAGGAAAGCAGTCTCCTTAGCAGACGTTTTTCCTATCGGTCRGCGAAGCTTTCGGGCAAACACGACAATAAGCTGCTGAGGAGACTAAGGAAGGCACTGAGCCCAAGCTAAAAGATATTACTATCATGCCCGAAAATTTTTCACGATATCCACAATAGTGGCAAACAATGCGGCTGCAGCTCCCAGGACTCCAAATACGATGATGAACAAGTCTTTACCAAACACRAGCCTGGTAAGAGTGTTGTCATAATGAAACGTAAGGATATGGATAGCAGCAGGTAAGATGAGAGCAAGGGATGTACTACCAATAGCACCCACTAGAGAGATCAGGTCACCAAGCTGGGGTATACCAACTGCTAGACCAGCTAGAATAACAAATATCAGTGATAAGAATTAATATAGAGCTCGACATGACGTAGCACTGAAACGGCTTCCCATGGGCATTGGAATGGTTATTGTACGAGTAGTAAACGTACGCGGTACTCGCTTACAGCATATACACGGTACGACATGCCGTAACATTGAAATGGCTTCCCATGGGTATTGGAATG